GGGTGTGGATTCTTTCTGCTTTAGGCCCCGTGTGATAACGTCCAATGTGGCACCCTCTAGATGCACTGCACTACAACTCTCATCATCCCACCAGCAAGGGGAAGATCATCAGCGTGGCCTTCCTTTAGTTGTTCATCTGAAGGGCAACCAGTTCTCTATCTGAATATCTCCTCCACCAGAAGGGCTGTGTCTGCCCCAAATCTGCTTTAAAAATAAAAAGCCTTAAGGCACTTTATCAGGATTCCCCATCCACAACTGGCCCCTAATAATAATAATAATAATTTATTTCTATCCCGCCACTCTGCGTACAACATTAAAAATACACTACATGTCCAGTTTGACACCCTTTTTACTTCCCTGGCTCCTTGCTACAGAGCCCTGGGATGTGTAGTTTTATGAGACATTCTGCCTTCTCTGTCAGAGCTCTGGTGCCACAACAAACTACAAATCCCAGGATTCTGTAGCATTGAGCCATGGCAGTTAAAAGGGTGTCAAAGTGCTTTATTTCTGCAGTGGTCCAGAACACACTGCAGGAATAATTCAGTTTTGAGACCCTGGCTCAGCGCTAAGGGATCCTGGGAATTGTAGTTTGTTGTAGCCCCCAGAGCTCTGGTGACAGAGAAAGGTTGAATGGCTCACAAAACTACAGTTCCCAGGATTCCCTAGCATTGAGCCTGAGAAGTTAAAGCAATTTCAAACTGGATTAGTAGTAGTAGTGGTGGTGGTGGTGGTGGTTTTTGCAGTGTTTTGGACCACCCCTGGTCTGGGGAAGAGCTGTATTGCAATTCTTTTTCCATGGTTTACTTTTTTTGCAAAGATGAAATGTAACTTTTACATGTGTGAAATGCCTACAATACATCTATTTTATGGAAACAGGGGTCCTCTTGTGGCCTCAGTTTTGGCAAAGGAGAGAAAGGCCTCTTTACTGGGGCTGAGAGAGAGCCCAGTTTGTACCCCTTTGGCTCGGCTTCTCCCTCAGGCCCAGCAGGCTCTCTTATTGTGTCGCCCTCAGCGCCCAAACTCCTCACACACACAACTCACACACACAACACACAACACACAACCCCTTCCTCCCCTCCCCTCAGCCTTTCCCCTTCAGCTGCCAGGCTGAGGCGACGACAAGGCAGCCATTGCCGCCCCCGCACCCCTGACAAGCTCAGCGCCAGGCGGGAAGGAGGAGAGATAAGCCTTATCAGGCCGCAGGGCTCTCGCTGCTTTCCATCTTCCCAAGAAGGCCTCCTTACTTCCTTCCTCCTCCACAGAGAAGTGAAGCCCTTCTTTCAAGGCTGCCTCCCCACTGCAGAAATAATCCGGTTTCGCCCCGCTTTAACTTTCTACAGCTCCATGCTATGGAGTTCTGGGAAGGGTAGTTTGTTGTGGCACCAGAGCTGCCGCTTTCACAACAAACTGCCATTCCCAGAATTCCACAGCATGGAGCCACGGCTGTTAAAAGTGGTGTCAACCAAACTACATTTCCCAGAATTCCATAGCATGGAGCCATGGCTGTTAAAAGTGGTGTCGAGCAAACTACATTTCCCAGAATTCCATAGCATGGAGCCACGGCTGTCAAACTACCATTCCCATAATCCCATAGCATGGAGCCATGGCTGTTAAAGTAGTGTCAAACTAGCTGCATTTCCTAGAATTCCATAGCATAGAGCCATGGCCGTTAAAAGTGGTGTCAAACTACATTTCCCAGAATTCCATAGCAACATTTCCCAGAATTCCATAGCTTGGAGCCATGGCTTTTAAAGTAGTGTCAAATAAGCTACATTTTCTAGAATTCCTTAGCATAGAGCCATGGCTGTTAAAGCAGTGTCAAACTACCATTTCCCAGAATTCCATAGCATGGAGCCATGGTGGTTAAAGTCATGTCAGACAGGATTATTTCTGCAGTGTGGATGCCGCTTTTGCTGAGGGGCTTCCCAGCTAGCCTTGCTGGCCTGCCCACTGCCTGATACCCCAGTCAGCTCCGAGAAAACCTGTGCACCTCCTTCTCTGGTGATGATGGTACCACTCATCATCCTTGTCATCATCATTTAATATTATTACTACTGCTACAGGTTGAGTGTCCCTTATCCAAAACACTTGGGACCAGATGTATTCTGGATTTTGGAATTTTTTAGATTTTACAATATCTGTAGTTGTATATACCTACGTCTCCATTTGGAGCCAGCATGGTGTAGTGCAGGGGTAGGCAACCTAAGGCCCGGGGGCCGGATGCGGCCCCCCCCCCCGAGGCCTTTGGGGGCCGGTGCTGCCGCCGCCACCCACCATAATGATATTGATGATTGTTGTTATTACTTGTTCTTGGGGTTTTCTTGGCAAAATCTCCACAGGGGTTTTGCCATGGCTTTTCTGGGGCTGAGAGAGTGTGCATGCATATTTTTAAATTTTTTTTAAAAAAATTATTTTTTTAATTTTTATTTATTTATTTTTGATGCTTCGGACTCCCAATTGTCTGAGGGACAGCAACCCGGCCCCCAGCTCAAAATGGTTGCCTACCCCTGGCGTAGTGGTTTGAGTGCTGGACTATGACTCTGGAGACCAGGGTTTGATTCCCAGCTCGGCCATGGAAATCCACTGGGTGACCTTGGGCAAGTCACACTCTCTCAGCCTCAGGGGAAAGCAATGGCAAACTTCCTCTGAAAAACCTTTGATAAGAAAACCCTGTGATAGGTTTGCAAAAGGTCGCCATAAGTCAGAAACAATTTGAAGGCACACAACAACAACAAACATCATGAGCCGTCTTGAAGATGGGAGCCAAGTCTAAACACAACACCCTTTTACACATATACACCTTGTACACATAGCCTGAAAGTAATTTTAGACAATAAATTTAATAATTTTAATAATTTAATAATTTTGTGCATGAAACAATATTTGTATACACTCAGACCCCTATGAAAATAAAATTTGGCTTTTGGAATATTTCAGATTTTGGAATTCCAGATAAGAGAGACTTGACCTGTACAGTCATCCCTCCTTTGCGTTTTTCTTAATATGTCCTCTCTAGGAATCTCTAGATCCTCCAGTGCAATTCTGCCAGAAATTGACCATAAGCAAACCTTGAATTTTTTTCCCCATTTTTATATAAGGGATACTGTTTTACTTTGTTGACAGCTTTGATTGTGCTGGAGAACCTACAAATTCCTAGAGAAAACCCTTCTCTGGGAATTTGTAGGTCCTCCATCATGACTCTATGATCAACTTCTGGGAGATGTTGACCATAGAGATGCGTTGGAGCACCTGGTGATTCCTAGAGAGGTGATCTTGTAGATAAAAAGAATAGTGTTTTCTTATTTGTGGTTTTTCCACATTCACGGGGCTCCCTCACCCCTAACCCTAGCAAATATGGAGGGACTACTCTACTAGTATTACTACAGTATCCCTTACCTCAAAATATGAAATATCAAATGCTCCAAAATCCAAACATTTTTTATGGGTGGCTGAGAGAGTGACACCTTTGCTTTCTGATAGTTCGGTGTATGGTGGACCCTTGGAATCAGCTGGGGTTTGGTTCCAGGATCCCCCATAGATGACAAAATCCGTGGATTTATAAGTCTTATTACATACAATAGGGTATTAAAATGGATAATATATAGGGTATGTAAATGGATTACATAAAATAGGGTAATAAAATCAGTGAAGCCACAACCTTGAGTTTGCAAGACCTGAGCAGGGCAGCTGATGATGGAGTGACTCATTCATAGGGTCACCATAAGTCAGAGCTGTCAACAAAGTAAAATAGTGTCTCTTATATAAAATGGGGGGGGGGGAAATCAAGGTTTGCTTTTTTCATTTATTTGTTTTTTTAATTATATTTTCAAGCCATGGACAATTGAATCTGTGGATGCAGAATCTGTGGATACAGAGGGCAGACTGTACACAGGGTTTCTTTCATTCACAAAATTATTTCAAATATGGTGTATAAAATTACTTTCAGGCTATGTGTATAAGGTGTAGATGAAACATAAATGGATGTCATGTTTAGACTTGGGTCCCACCTCCAAGATATCTCATTATGTAAGTGCAAAGATATCTCATTATGGAGGAAGAGGCACCAGGGAGCACACTGCAAACATACGATGGCTAATGGAGAGCATCAGGGAATTCCAAAAGAAAAACAGCATGTATAGCCTTTGACTGCATAGATCATGAAAGGCTATGGAATGCCCTTAAAGACATGGGAGTGCCATCATATGATAATTCTGATGAGGAATCTTTACTCAGGACAAGAGGCTGCTGTCAGAACAGAACACAGAGAAACAGAATGGTTCCCAGTTGGCAAAGGAGTCAGACAAGGCTGCATCCTTTCACCCTATCTGTTCAACTTGTATGAAGAACATATTATAAGAAAAGCAGGATTGGATACAGAAAAGGGAAAAGTGAAAATAGGAGGAAGGAATATCAACAATCCAAGATATGCAGATGACACCATGGTACTAGCAGAAAACCTCACAGATCTGGAACACCTACTAAGGAAGATCAAAGAAGAAAGTGCTAAGGCAGGCTTAATGTTGAACATAAAGAAAACAAAAATAAGGACCACCGAGGACCTTCACAAGTTCAGCCTAGACAATGAAGAAATAGAAATAGTAAAAGAATTCCCATACCTGGAATCAAACATCGATAGAAATGGGGACTGCAGTCAGGAAATCAGAAGACTAAGAATAGGGAGGGTGGCTATGAGGGAACTAGAAAAGATCCTAAAATGCAAAGATATACAACTCAGCACAAAAATTAGAATTGTACAAAGCATTGTTTTCCCTATTATCATGTAGGATTGTGAGAGCTGGACAGTTAGGAAAGAAGATAGGAAGAAAATCAATGCATAGTTTTTGTGGGTTTTTGGGGCTGTGTGGCCATGTTCTAGAAGAGTTTCTTTCTGACGTTTCGCCAGCATCTGTGGCTAGCATCTGGCGAAACATCAGAAAGAAACTCTTCTAGAACATGGCCACACAGCCCAAAAAACCCACAAAAACTATGGATGCCGGCCATGAAATCCTACGACTTCACAAAATCAATGCATTTGAGAAAATGTAGTGCTGGAGAAGAGTGCTAAGGATCCCATGGAAAGCCAAAAGGACAAACAAGTGGGTCTTAGAGCAGATCAAGCCAGAAACCTCCATGGAAGCCAAGATGACCAAACTGAGACTGTCGTACTTTGGACACATCATGAGAAGGGAGGACTCTTTGGAAAAAGCAATAATGCTGGGGAAAGTGGAGGGAAGTAAGAAGAGAGGTAGACCACATGCCAGATGGATGGAGTCTGTTAAGGAGGTCACAGGTATTAGGGGTTGCAGGAATGAAGCAGAGCAGTGGAGGACACAGGGTCTTGGAGATATCTCATCCATAGAGTTGCCATGAGTTGAGATCAACTCGAGGGCAGTTAACAACAACAACAAGGCGCAAATATTCCAAAATCCAAAACACTTCTGGTCCCAAGCATTTGGGAGAAAGGATACACAACCTGTATTACTTTAATCTTGCTGCACACTGGCAAGTGAGGATTATTATTTTTGCCATGCTGCTTATTACAACCACTTCAGAAATGGTGGAAGTTTTATTCAGAAAAGATGGATGTGGTCATGCAACTTTGAGACTGATTCCTGTGTGCACATACACTTACACTATCTTTATGAGGACCAGCTAAAAAGTCACTTAAAAGGCTGGGTTACCAATGGTACAATGATATACTCCAGTGTACCAATGGTACAACTGGAGAAAATACTCCAGGGCCCTCAGTGGCTAGGGACCCCATATTGATGCACACACATGAATGCATACGTACCTGCATGTGTACACCCATAATTGTACTTTGGCGATGTGAATGAGAAATGATTCTGGGGAGAAGGGCGCTCTAGATCTCTTTTCTCCCACCTTGCCCAAGGGCTGGTCATTCACTGTCCATTCTAGCTGCACTTCCCAACTTTCAAGTACGTGAAGAAGCAGGTAGTGCATTAAAGTGAGAATCTGGCCTTGTCATACTGGCTCGGGGAGGATGCCCAGAGTCGCCCATCCTCAGGCCCAAAAATGACTATTCTTGGCTTTGCAGAAGGCATCTCTTTGCTCATGGGTGATTTGTGGAGTGCTATACTTTGCCCATCTATGAAACAGGATTAGTTATGAGGGGGAGCTGCATGGCACATACTTGTCCCAGGAGCTCCTCATCTTGCCAGGATCCTGTGTATGCAGAATCTTTAATGAATTTCTCCTTACATAAATACGTCCAGCCCATCTTTTGAATTACAGACCCATTTTTTCTAGGGATTGCCTTTTGAATTTGATGTATGGCTGTTGCATGCCATGGTAATCCTATTTGCAAGCTCAAACAGAATAGTGAAGAGACAAAAATGTATGTCGTATCTTCATTTATAAAAGAAAATGTGCAGCTCCATTTTTCCCACTTCTGTGAGGATACTCAAAGCAGCTAACAAAACATTTTAAGGGGGGGGGGTTTGAGGAAAAGAGAAAAATTATTGAAAAGTGTGTGTAGAAAGTTGGCAAAAGGAGAACATGGCAGCTGCCCATTTTGTTTTGTGGTGTAATTGCAGATTTTAAGGTCAGATGCTCATTGTGACAACCCAACAGTCATGTTCCCAAGGATAGTTGAAAATTTTTGGCAGGTCACTTGATCCATATCACTAAGCCAGCTCCAGCAGTTTTAATTTCCCAAGTCTTTTGTAAAGTTAATGGGTCTTAAGAGAGCCAACATGATGCAGCAATCTGAGTATTGGACTATGACTCTGGAGGACAGGTTTCAAATCCATGTTTAGCTATGGAAACCCCTTGGACAAGTCATACACTCTCAGCCTCAGAGGAAGGCAAGGGCAAACCCCTTTTGAACAAATCTGGCCAAGAACCACCACTACCCTATGTGATAATTCACCTTAGGGTTCCCATAAGTCAGAAAGTTAAGCACCCATTAAAGTCCAAACTAACCCAAAATGTTCCATAACAACAGTGATGGCACAAAACAGTGTACATATCCTCAGAAAAATCAATTTCCCCATAACTACAGTGAGGATTGAAGTTAAATTCACCAGTGACAAATGAGTCTAATAGTGAGAGGTTCCGATGATATCATTGCACCCATTGATCCAAAAGTCCTGGCCCTAGTGCTGATTCAAAAGTCCTCGTGGCCCCTTCGTCCTGACACTGTTTTTACCCCTTAGCAATCCACTTGATCCATGGGCTGCATAGACTGCATCTGCACTGCAGAAATAATCCAATGTGACACCACTTTAACTACCATGGTTCAGTGTAATGGAATTGTGGGCACTGTAGTTTTGAGAGACACTTAGGGCCTTTACAGACTGCCAGAAATAATGCAACTTGAGTCCACTTTAACTGCCCTGGCTCAGTGCTAGGGAATCATGGGAACTGTAGTTTATTGTGGCACCAGAGCTCTCTGACAGAGAAGGGTCAATGTCTCAGAAAAAACTACAGTTCCCATGATTCCCTAGCACTGAGCCAGAGCAGTTAAAGTGGACTCAACTTGCATTATTTCTAGCAGTCTGTAAAGGCCCTTAGTCTTCTCTATCAAAGAGCTCTGTTGCCACAACAAAC